TTCTTTACCCTTTGTATGAAAGAGTGTGTCTATGTAAAACAAAGGAACTTAACAGAAAAACTTAACCTTACTGTCTGTATTGTATGCCCTGAAGGGAGACAGATTCCTCAACTCCTTTAAAGACAATCTTCTAAGAGGGTTCCAAAAAAAAGACCACTGAGAAATAGCTTTGTTCACCTTCCTGTCTTCTGAGGTATACCACTTCCATCGGGGAGGAAATGTCCTCTGAAGCTCACTGTATCTCTAATCTCTGTGCTACCAAATTTCCCCTCCTCCTTACAGAAAGTAAAACATCTACTCCCTTGTGTAGGGCCCATACAAGAGCACCCGTCAGTCCCTCCACAGGCTGTGCTGACAGCACAGTGCTAACTCAGCAGTGGCATTTAGGAGCTGTTTAATGCATGCACACATATGGCAGGCAATGTGTATATTCACTGGGGTTCAAGGGAAAAACTAAACTAGATAGAGATAGGGGCCTCCAGGGACTGGGCAGGGGAGGAGGATGAGGAGGAGTATCATCTGAGCAAGGCCTGGTTCCTGTTAGTCACTTGTAAGGAACAGCAGCAGAACTGGATAACCGGAGGAGGAGTGCTCGTGTTTTGCCAGCTGAACTTGCTGTACCTATCTCTCACTCTGCTGTAAATCCCTCTCTGGTGTGGCACTTTTACCCAGAATTAAACACAGCTTGCCTCCCTGTCTGACGAGCCCAGAGCTGACATGATAAGGAGCTAATACATATATTAAAAATAACTTGCTTTGAATGCATGTGTGTATAGCCACAGTTCTGTGTTTTAGATATCTCATTCTTTTCCTGCTGCATAAATAGACTTTGGTAAGGTTTAACAAACACTGCACTCCACTTTTTGCCCCTGTAAACTCTGTGTGTGTGTGTGTGTGAGACAGCACCTCATACATGCCCACATCCACAGATGCTCCAGTCATGGTGCATTTTGCTATGTAGACCTTCACTGATGTTTCTTTACATTCAAAGCCTTGTGATGCAGCACTGAGGGAGACTTGAGCTCCTTTTACAGCAACAGCAGCTATTTGGCTCCTCTTTTCCCAGGTGCCTGGAAACTCCAGAAAGTGTAGAGCTTTGCTGAGCTGCAACTGAAGTGAGCATGAGCTTTAGGAGCCCAGGTTGGATAGCTACAGAAACCAAGGTGGGATAGGATAGAAGTATCAAAGGGTTGCAGGCCTGTGCACTGTGCAGCAGAAGAACTAGTTGTTTGCGCCGTTAAACCTTCCGTGCAAGGGAGGATTCTGTAAAAATAATGTCTCTGGTGATATAAGCATCTAGCATTGAAATGCAGAGTTGGAGGCCTGTGAAAGAGGGTCACTGTGAATTCTTCCCTGTCCTCTTCTGCCTCGAAGTCAGGACAATCAGCAGCCCCTGCTCAGTGCCTGATATATTCTAAGTTGCAAAAGGAGCCTATCAAAATTTTACCCTGTGTTTGGTGGTAATAGTGCAGCAGCTTTCTGAGTGTTCAGGCTGGATTTCTCCATTTCCACGTGCTGTTAGAGCAGACAGGGACATCCCCAAAACGTGATGTCATGCAACAGCTTTGTCTTTCGCAGAGCAATTGGCTGTGAAATGTCCTCACGTGAGGGCCAGGGCCTCCTACACCCAAAGCACACATGAGCATCGGGGCGGGGGAGGGGGGCAACCACAAAGAACTGGCTGTGGAGCTGGCTCAGGCTGCCAACTCCTGGAGCAAATCAGAGCAGGAGAAATCCTGAGCCAGCTGATGCTGCTGGCAGAAGCGCCCTCCTGTCAACATAAAAAGAGTTTATCTTCTCTGCGTGGCTCCTGGTCCTGACATGCACCCAAACACCCTCCTGCCTCTCTGAGGGTTGGGTTAGCACCAGATACCCTGCAGAGAGTGCGCTGCCAAGCGTTTGCAGGCATTTGGTAATGAGTCTTTGGATAACGCTGAATCTTCTTCCTTAGAGACTCTTAACACAGAGAATGAAATCATCACTGCATGTTATCCCTTCTGAGCAAAGGTTGACATTACCAATACCCCAACTATGAGCCAAAGTTGGCCCTACTTTTCTACGGCAGCTGGAAATGTGTGTTCAAGCTGTAGAAAAAAGTCAAATGGCCAAGCCATCCTGAGAGGACTTCCCTACAATGTTGATAAACTTATGTAAGGATTATTTTGCCAGCAACCATAGCATGTAATCCCAAAGTTACTCAGCTTTATAGCGCTCTAGTATCAAGACAACAGATGTGTGTGTATGAAACTAGCGTGGCTGGTGATGTCAGGTGTCTAGATGTGTGATTACAGTTCAGCTCCACAAGCTCCTGTCAGGAGTAACAATTCCCTCCCTCTTCCATTTGCATTTTGTTTTTTTTTCAGAAGATTAGGGAACCTGTCCTCTCTTCAAAGACAACATTGGAAATTGCTCACTGTGCTCTTGAGGGCTCTTCCCAGTCTTCCTCATGGGTTCATGATTTATACAACCATTAGCAAGGACAGAACTCTGCTCATCTGTCAGAAGCAAATGTTGTTCTCTTGTATTTACTGTTTATAACATCTGCAGGTTATCCTGATTTCTAGGATATCCCTTCCCTGGCATCTCTGTTATGTGGGATGCAAGCAATACCCCAGAGTGTCTTCTCCTCATGGGTGAGCAATATAGTGCAGCAGTGGCTTCTCTCTCTTACGTTATGGGAGCAGCTGTGTGGAGCATGCATGGGCTCTGGGCAGAAAGGACCTTGCATGCTCCTCAGCAGCAGCTACAGGTGTTCCCTCCCTCCTGTCAAGCAGCAGGTATATTAGGGTGTCCTGTGGCTTTGCATGCAAAAGGGATCTTTGTTTGGAAGTGCAAATGGAGTTTTGGATGTTAGGGCTTCAGAGAAGTGGGAATACTGGAGACTTAGTACTTTGCAGAGCCTGCTATGAGGTGCCAGTGATGAGATTTCCATAAGGATGTCTTGCCAAAGGCCTCATGACCTCTTTGAGATTCTATCTGGTTCCTATAGGCAGATTTACTGGGGAGTGATTCTGCAGCCTCTCCATGTGTATGTGGTGCACATGGACGTGGTGGTGCAAAGTCCCTGCCACAGCACAACTCCTTGTGTCCCCATTAGGCTCCTACACTGATGTGCAGCTTCCAGTGAAGATAATAATGTCAGTTCCTAACCATGTTAAAATAGTAATCTCTCCCCACTCCTACCTTTCTGAAGGAGATATTTTTAAAAGTAGCACTTGTTAATGGTTTTCAGGGAAGTCAGTTCAATTACTTGGTTTGCTCTGCTGCTTTGTTTGCGTGGGCTGTTTTTTTTTTTTTTTTTTAAAAACCCAAACAATTATGTCAAAACTAGAAGCAAAATATCAACTGTAGAGGCAAGCTGGGTCATACCCAGTTGCACTACAAAGAACAAGGATATGTTCAGATCTCAGATCACAGTTGTTAGCAGGCACAAAACTCTCATTTTTGTTACCTCCATAGGCTCTTCTCTCTAGACTGTCTTTCCTTTGACAGCTGATATTTGAAGTGTCCGGTGCTTTATCTTCTAGTGTTTTCTATTGATTTTGCTCTCTTATCCTAGTCCTTTTTTCCTCTGTAGGTCTTTCTCTTCTGTTGCATCCCTCACTGATCTGAATGGGTTTCATGGGTTACAGCATTCCTGGACAACAGGGCAAAGTGGGCTATTTAGGTGCACTGAACATCTGCAAAATGGAAATTGATGTGCACTGAATAATCTCTTGGATGATGCAGAGTAGTCTCAGATTTCTTGTTGTGGCAGCTCACGAGATTCAGATTCAAAGCTGGAGTTGTCCTTTCCCAGAATGTAGCAGTGTTCAGATCTGGGATTATCTCTACATCAGCTGTATAAAAATAAGCAAGAAATTCAACGCCCTTGTGAGTTTAATTTTGAAGTTCTTAAATAGTAGGAATGAAAAATATAGAAGTCTGTCTCTCTGTCTGCCATCGTTGCTTTTCGCTACCCTATTTTTGAATGAGAGAGTCTGACTTTCAGCCTAAAATATGAAATGAAGAATAGATTTGAGAATGAGATAAGGAACTCAGCCTTCTCACAAGTGTCTTTTCTGTCTATGCTGCTGGTTGGCTTCCAGATATAGTTTGGCTCTACCTCAGGCTCAAAGGGTGTATCCTCACACAACTTTGAAAACTGGCAGTGTACATGTTTACATGTAGCCTATCTGTCTAGATGCTTTTTATAGTTGGCAGAGCAAGATAGGCTTCTCTGGTGTGTGACTTGTCTTACCATGAAGTAGACTATCACATGTGGTACTTTGGAGGTGTATCATACTTTGGGACCCATTGCTTGCAGACAAAGTTTGGCTATCCAACCCAGACGCGCTCCTGTATACTCTAGGTGTCCAGAGTTGGTTCCCACTCTGTCCATGAGGACTGGATGCTTGGGAGGAACTGAGCACTGGGTATCTGCTGGTGGACTGACTTGTATTTCTTCCATCTTTGTGGACTTGGCACAAAAGAACATTTGGTCTCTGCTTGTCAGTGCACTAATTCAGTGAGAAGAATTAAGTTCTGCTCTGATAAAGAGCCCCAAAGCCAAAGTCTGTGCCCTAGTGGGCACTTGTATGCTAGTGATGAGGGTGGTGGGTACATCAGTTACCCATGGTGTAGCTGACACCAAGGCAAGGAACAAGCTGGAGGGCAGCTCACTGCACTAGGAAACAACAATGAGCAAGGAAAGCCTGGAACAGCCCCTGCTTATGCTGCCAGGGCTACACTCCTCGCTGTGCCCAAGCCAGTGAGACTGAAGCTTGCTGGAGCAAGATGGATGGGGGTGTCTGCACAGGCTGCCTGTTGGGAGGTGTTGCATGTATTCGTATGGCTGTACTGCCAAGTGACCAGGCACTGTGTGAAGCAATGAGGGAGGCAGGTGGTTTCCGCCCACTAAAACTTATCATCTCTGTTGAAAATAAGATGAAGGGGCAGAGGATTGACATGAAATTAAGAAACTGTCAAAACAAGGCAAACCTTTTCACTTCTCTCTCCAGGTCGCTACCCACAGCAAAATAAAGGCACCTACATCCCAATCCCAGTAGGTAATGTGCTGAAACCTGGTGAGTGGGGAGCCAAGATTACACACAAAGAGAACAACTCCATTCGCCTGTCCATCATGTCCTCTTCCACCTGCATTGTTGGGAAGTTTCGCCTGTATGTTGCTGTCTGGACTCCCTTTGGCATCCTCCGGACACACAGAAACTCGGCAACTGACACTTACATCCTGTTCAATCCCTGGTGCCAGCGTAAGTACCTTATCAAAGGTTCACACTTTCTGCTGCCAGGCTTATTGGATTTTGGGAGGGGGTGGTCCAGGAAGGGGAGCCAAGGAGGTTGGAGACATGCCAGTTTGGGTCTGAAAATTATATAGTGATTCTGCCAAGAGGCAAATTTTTCAGGCTGGGGAATAGCCCTGCGTGAGTGGGGCTCCATGCTGTAGATCTGTGCCTGTGCTCTAGCTGCACTCTGCAGTTTTATGAGGCCAAGCCTGTGTTTACTAGCTCGGGCAGTGCAATGATGCTCCATTTCTCATAGTAAATATACCCCAAGGGTTTGCTCTGACTTTAACAGGCATCAGTGTGAGCCTTCTGCTTGCCTGTGTGTGCCTTAAACTGACAAGTCAATACGGGCATGGTTTTTATGGGTTTTGGTGTAGGGCAGGATGTAGCAGCGTCCCATACTCTGTTGAGTTACGTTGTTGATTGCCACATTTAGAATTGAACATCTGCAGCTTTTGCCTGCAGGAATTCAATGGAAGCTGCTACTCCTATACAGGTTGGATGAAGTCAACCTGCTGTGGCATCACTGGTGGTGCCTTCGTGCCACTACACAGCATTTGTGCTTATAACTTCCCCTTTAGTGGTGACTGATTACCAGCAACCCTGTCAATATGAGGAACAGAACATTTTGCAAATGAGCCTTTTTTTTATAATTCAGTGGGTTGAAGAACAACTTTTTTTGTTGTTGTTGTTTTTTTTTTTTTTTAAATCTCCCTAGATCCTGGATAAAATCAGCACTTATGCTGATGGAATTGTGTTTTACCCAATGAACTCCATGTGTGGCTTTAAGGAGAGGGCAAGGAGGACCAGAGAGGTTTGGCTCAGCCTTCTGACAGGCTGTAGCACTGTCTCAGCTTCTGACATTTGTAAGGCTCCAAGTCATACATATCGTTGTATATTTAGGTCACCAGCTATCTTTAATATTCTCCCGCCACTCTTCCTTCATATTTCAATATTTTTACCAGAGTATTTGCATCAAATGATCCTGTATGAAACAAGGGCCATCCTACCGAGTGATGAGTAAGTTTAGTGTTATTAATAGAGTCCATTATTCAGCTGCACTACTGTCAGTACATTGAATGATTTGTGCTGAATTCATTACTTGCCCCTGGTCCAAGGGAATATAAGCAATGATTAGCTTATACATTATTTAGGAAGATATATGTTAACGCTAAATAAAGCAGAGTTAGTTAAGCAGGAACAGGAAGGAAAGGCAGGGCTCAAGATTCTGCAACACCATGAGATACTTCTGAAAGCAGCATAGAGGTAGGTACCTTAGAGCAGCATGGGAAGAATTTAGTCTGGAAGAGGAAAGTTAGTGTATAATAGAAAGAGGAATCTTTGCCAAAGTTATGACCCACTGGTGAGCAGACAAAACTGCTAAAGTTTTGTGAAGGCATCATCAGCTTGTCATAGCTCCAGCTAGGGAGGTGCAATTCTCCATCCCAAGGTAGAGCATCCCTTGGCTTTAGTCCTGGGTATCATAACAGTCAGTTTGTTAGCCGGCATGGTGACTCTGCAGTGGCTTAGCACCTCTTTGGAAAGGGATAAACCCTAAAGAAAAAGCTTCTGAAATTGCCTCAGGTTGCCTCATGACTAGCATACAACTAGCTAGGGCTGCATACAGACCTGATATGGAGAAAAACTGTGATGTGGGGGCTTGACTACCCCACTGTGGTGTAACTGGGACCATATAGGCTGATTCAAGGTGCTAGTCAGGGTGTGGGAACGGGAAAATCAATCCTTTCTTTGCACCTCCTTCCCCACCAGCCCTGTGTGACTGATACATCTCTGTTTATAGCACGTGGGTGCTTTGCTCTCCTGTGCCCTCACACCTGAGCTGAATGGGGCCAAAAGCCAGGAAGATCAAAACCACAGCATAGAGCAAAGCCGCAGGGAGCAAGACATGCAGCAGTTACCTCCAACAGCAGCAGCCATTGGCAAGGCTGATAGAAAAGTTCTGCCCCAGGAGAGCAAAAGAGAGTTTCCAGTCAGCAAGGATGTGCTATGTGCCCCCAGGCCCAGCGGGGGCAACTCACGATCACCCCTGGAGAACCACATTGTGATTTCCAGCTTGCATGGTCAGGTGTGTCTCAGTGACTTCAGGTTCTGTCCCTTGCTGACTATTTTTGTTTTCTGTGTGTTTCATTTGGATTTGGATTTATTCCAATTTCTTGCCCCTACTTTTTTTACTCCTAGGTAGTTTGGGCTAATTGGCTCCTATATCTGCTTTTTCCCCTCTGTCCTTGTGTTAGAAAACCGGGGACTGTTTCTCCACGCTTCATCCCCCGGCTAGAAAAGACTGTTCAGTGGAATGACAAACAGGTATAAAAACTCAGGCAGTTAAAGTACAGAGAAAACAATAGTTTGAAAATCTCCCAGACTTGTTTGCTGGGTTAATAGCTAAGCAGAAAAGTCTGAGTGAAAAGCCTCATTAAAAAGAGAGAAGGCTGATGCCAGGAATGAATGGGGGTTGTTATTGCAAGGAGCAGAGTATGGGCTCTGTCAGTGTCTAGTGCAGCTTTCCGACTCATCATTTTGGAGAAACATCAGTGTGTTGGTATGAGCTTTTCTTTAAGACAGAGGCATTTGTGCCCTTTCTTATTACTCCTTTTCTCACTGTAGTTCAGTTTTGACATATCTTCCCAGCCAGGGCTGTGTTCTTTTTTCTGCTGTTTCAAAACAAGATTGAATACTTTAGCAGTCAAACTACAGAGTACTTTGCTTCCAGAATAATCAGATGCTTTTATATGTTCTTATCCCCTTAGCTACATTTAACACTGATCACCAAGGATACTTTAAGGGTGTAGATGCAGGGCCTGATCCTGCAAAATTATATACACCAGCCCCAAACATCTGGGAATTCAGCAAGCTAGTTGAGATTTCACATACTCAGATGAAATTTGCATTACTTAAGCGAGGTAAGGCCTGTGAGAGGCAGCAACTTTTCTTCAGCCAGCTGACATAGTTGGGAAAAACAGATGTGCTTTTGGGCATGCAGAGCCCTCTTCAGTTCTGAAAATGAAGCTACAAATGCCAAGTAGTTAACAATAACTTAACTTGTAGCAGTATCAGACTACATGAAAGCAACGAAGGGCTCCTTTGATCTTGGATACTGTGAGCTCTTTCCAAGGAGGTGCTGAGTCCCAGCAACTTTCTGCTGGGGAATATTCAGAGCTTATTAGGAAAGGGCCTTGAACTGACTTGTGTGGCTCTCTCACAGGGGGAGATCCATAATGTATCTGAGTACGTTGCAGACTTTGTGGGCTGAGATATGTATTTCATTCATCCAAGCCTCCTGCAAAGGGCATTATATTTAAAGCAATTAAATATATTGCAACTTTATTGAGCCAGTTGCATGTTTCTTCTGCTTAAATGTCACAGAATCCTCTAGGTTGGAAAAGACCTTGAAGAACATCTAGTCCAGCCATTAACATAACAATGACCATTCACAACTACACCACATCCCTCAGCGCTAAGTTGACCAGACTCTTAAACACCTCCAGGGATGGGGACTCCACCACCTCCCTGGGCAGCCCATTCCGACGCCTAACAACCCCTTCTGTAAAGAAATGCTTCCTAATATCCAGTCTAAACCTTCCCTGCTGCAACTTGAGGCCATTACCTCTTGTCCTAATGCAGTTTGAGGATGAGTAACATGTAGTTGACTTGGGACTCCTCTCATATGTTAGCAGTCATCCAGATTTGCCCCAATAACATTTTCTTGTGTTTATAGCTAAATCTTAAATTTGATCTCTTGTATCATAGATTCCATGCAGGCACAATTCACACAGAGCTTCAATCTTCTTCTACGTTAATGTAGGCAAGCACTAGCAGTTGCAAGGCAGCATACTGATCTTGGTCCTGGGTGGAGTGAGTTTTGTAGATAACTGTGCTTAGCTCTTGCAGCTCTGTGTTTGCTACAGTGCTGCCCTCTTCCCAGCAAGATCCCTGGGAGTTTTGTGCTCCCAGTGAGTCCCAGCTTGGGAGGGGACTCTTCCCAGGGGAGAACGTTGAAGGAAAGGTGAGTGCTCAGGGCAATTTTGCCACCTCCACCCGTCTGCCGGTGCCACTATGCTCATCAGTCACTGTCTGTGCAAAGAAATCACATTTTCAACTCCAGGCAGTTGCTGTGCTAGGGAAGGCGTCCCCCCATACTGGGTAGGGTCCTCTCATGCTTGTTCACCTTCCCAAATTGAAAGGGCGGCTCTGCACTCCTCATCTCTTTTACAAGGAGCCTCTGTTCAGTGGGATTCCTCACCTGCAGTACTGCCTTCACATGAAGTGTATTTTCAACTTATCCATCTTCAGATAAGCATAGAGGCTAATTTGCTTTTTTGTAGCATTGCTAGTGTCTTTGTAATTTCCCAGGATAAAAGGAATAAAAAAAACCCCTAAACTGCTAGAGAAAAAAGAACAAACAAACCCAGCACATTTCTGTGGAATTCTTCTGTTTGTCAGATGTGAACCTCCACTTGCACAAAATAATTAGGACTTATACTATGCAGACCACACAGCATCAAAGTAGTCACAAGTGCCTTGTGTTTTCTTCTAAACAATCTCAAGGATAGTGAAAGCTGTCAAAAATCAAAGCAGCTGGCTTTTCTGTGAAACACAAAAGACCTTTTTACTTTATCAAAACCCACAAATATTTTAAAATAATTGACAGAGAAGTTGATCAATTTTCATCTGATTTAACAAAGATCATGTAGTTTCAAAATGACACAAGCATCTCAATTGATACAAACCAGATCAATATTGATATTTTCAATCCCTGAAAGAAAGCAACAGCTATCAATAAGGCATATGCACACACTGTACTGAATGTGTAACTGTCCAGAAGAAGGTGTGAGTTCTTTAAATGATTTGTCTGTACCATTTGTGTGGATGGGCTTTAATGAAATACAAAGCTCAGTGAGAGAAAGCATATAATTGTTCAATCAGCAAATCAAGCAGATACGGCCTAATGAAACAGAGACTAGATGATGTGTAACATCTGCAATATATTTAGTGGGATGTTACACAGAACTGTTTTAGAGCTGGGGGCTGGTCCTCAAAAAGTCATGTAATATACAGTTGCATAAGTATGAGAGTCCCTGCTGGCATAAATGGCTGCAGCTTTTTGATTCACTGTCAAGTTTTAGTGCTCTCTTTCACCTGGTAGCCTCTGAATATAATCTTCTGCTGTGTGCCTGGGTACAGGTTGTCTAGATCATGGGTAGCGACAAGCCTTTAAAGAAACTTCTTGATGGCCCAGCCAGGTGAATACCACCACCCTGCCAAATGCAAAAGCAGGTCTCAGCCCTTCGCACCCTAGGGAAAACCCAATAAAACTCGACACTTCTCCATTTGCTTGGATTCAGACATAGTCTGAAAAGCCTGTACAGCAACCCTGTCAAAAATGTAACAGCAAGCGGTGATCTCCTCAAATGCAATAAAGGCTTCTTATAATCTAACACCTGCTTCCCTATCATTCTTTGAACACCAGTGTGGAGGTCATTATGTTATATATCTATGCATAATCCCTTCTGTATATATAGACATAGAGGTATAAATCTATCTTCAGAGAAGACAAAACTTCCAGCAGGGTCAGACATGTAGGCTGGCAAAACCCTTCACCTAGCTGAAGCCAGTGTGAGTTTTGCCATTTATTTTTTTAGAGGGCTCAGACTTTAGCTTATTTTCAGCCAAATTGCAGTTTTATGAGCTTTTGAGGATGAGGTTTACAAGGAAGTACAAATCTGATTTGCATTTCAACAAAATACAACAAATCAATAGGCTTTTAAAAGTGAAATGATCATCTAGTAATTTGTAGTGGGATGCTGAAGAAATCTACTATGGCAGTATTTAGTGGTAGTTTTGTACTCGCCTGTATCAAACTATCAAAGGTTATTGTTTCCCTTTAATTTGCTATCTAGTACTGTATTACTGATTTCCTCAAATGAACTAATTCCCCTAGTATTAGTTGATAAGCTGTACCTCTTAGTCTCAAAATACAAGCATTGGCCCAGGAAATAAATCATCAGCTATTCTAGCATCCCAGAATCATGACCTACTTCATACTTACCTGTGAATGTCTGAATAGTTTCACGTCATTCAGGGTTATTTATGAATGTTAATAATGGGTTTACATATGTGAATCATGTTTGCAGGGTGAGGGTCCATGCATATGCTCTTGACTCAAGACCAATCTAGGATATACCCTTTGTATATGTTTTGATAAAGATCTCTTCCAATTACTTCCAGTTTTCACTTGGACACTTGAATTTCTTCTTATATTAGCTGGTCAGTCAAGCTGCATGGGAGAGTGATACTCCAGTCAATTTTCATACAGAAAAAGCGATCAAGCCCTTCTGTTAATACACTATTAAAACAGTATTTTTTAAAATGTACTACAGATTTTTCTTTAGATCTCTTGACTTTAGCTATTTTCCATTAACATTAATAAGTTTGAAATTGTTCTTTGATCTGTTTGTGCAGATGCAGAATTGCATCATGGTACTTCAACTTTTAAATTAGTGATACACAGTAATCATAAAAATTCTTGATAAAGATGTTACATTTTAATCATACTTTACAGGTCCTGAGAAAACAGGTAGGAGTTGTCAGCATTTTTGTTTCTGCAATGCTTTTAATTTGTGTATCATGTTCCTAACTGAGGTCACTATCTCCTTATTCATGGACTCTGTTGAAAGAAGTAATGCTTTGTTTGATGGAAGAGGAATACTGTTTTGCCAGTTATTAGGCCTAGCATAAAGATAAACCAATAACCAAATTGTATTTGATACAAAAGGGTCAGCACATGGGCGAGCGCAGGGGGTAAAAACAAGTCAGATTATACATAATTGACATCAATCCCACTGACCCCAATAATGGGTGGAATAAATGGTGAGATGCAGTCTCCTATAGAAGGGGTGGGAAGCAACCAAGTCAACAAGCCAAACACATAAGACCAAGGAAGGCACACACTGAATCTCTACACAGCCCACATTTAGAAAGGCCAGACCTGACTGGAGCCCAGTTCCAGGGAGGCCCTTCCCCAACAGGAAACTCTGCACAGGGCATCCACCTCACAGACAGACACTGCCCCTGCCTGCAACCCAGCTTTTATCCCTCAGTGGGACACCTGACCCTTGTTTACTTAATGTGAGACACCTGGGGCTCATCTACCTCATGCCTCTCCCTGCAAGGCCGGCCGCACCCTGGAGGGAAGCCTAAAGGCAAACTCACCCCCCCCTTTGTGAAGGGCTGTGGGAATCACCCATATATCAACCTTAACTAGGGGCTGGGGGTTGAAACTCCAGCATTTCAAGTAGTTTTAATCAAAAATGACTGTATTATAGGATAAGATTTTTTAATCTGTCCTATATGAAAACTAAGTGATCATGTTAACATTTATTTTCTGGAAACTGATGCAGAGGATGCTGTGTATCTGGATGATGAGAAGGAAAGAGAAGAATACGTCCTGAATGATGTTGGTATTGTTTTTCATGGAAACATCAATGACATAAAATCAAGAAGCTGGAGTTATGGTCAGGTGAGCTATTTAGGCCTTCTCTGGCTGTTTTCAGTAGGACAGCAAGTGAGTTTAATTCACACCAGACTGTGGTTGAGACTGTGGGCTCTGGAGTGCATTATCAGTCTCTCCTTCAGAAAGACAAGGGGTATAATTTTCAAATTGTATGAAGTGGGTATATGCCTAATCCAGCAATGCAATATTATAATAGCTAATATTTAAAGATCTTGTTTTTAGGGCATATTTCAGATACTAAGAGGCTGCCTGTTAAAAGTTATGATCATTAGCTGAGGTTTCCACAGGGCAGCAGTATTTCTGTTGCTGCATTGTTGCTGCTACAGAATCAAACCAATTTGGTGAAAGAGTACAGAGGTTGGGTTGTTTTTTTTTCATTTTTCAGCAATAGGTTGTATTGCTTTTTGACTATTTCTTTTAGTTTCAGCAGCATGGTGGAAATAATTGTGATCTTCTTGGGAGTGAGCTTGTCACAGGGTTCCTATGACAAACTGGGATTTAATCCCAGAGTTTTAAATTTCCTCACTACAGTGACAAAGGGAGGAACCTCTCCCTTTGCTGCCTGGACTAGACAACACCAGTCTCCAATGGCCTCTTGCAGCCTGGGGGAAACACCCTCTGACAGGCTGGTGTGCGGTACTGGGGTGCCTCCAATAACATCAGACTTATTCCTTTTTTACCTCAATCTGTTTGTAAGCACTAACTAGCCTGAAAATCCCTACAGGATGAAAGAGTTAAGTTGTATGAGAACAGGAAAAAGGCATTAATGAGCAGAATCGAAATGAGCAAAACTAATCCTAGCTGTCACTCAGAGGGGCTTCAATGGACAGTTATTGGACATGGTGAACTCTGCTCATCTTACCTTCTGGATTTTCACAACAGCACAATTAAGAAAGTACTGAAGTAATTCCTTAATGCTATGGTGATGGATCCATTCAGTTTTTGTGGCACCTCCCCAGTGCAGCCTTACAGAAGGGGCCTTCTTGCTTTGCTTTCTTTCCCTCAGCTAAAGACAATCTCAAAGCTTGAGCTGGATAGATTGCCAGTGTGCTTGCCCTGGAGAGCTCTTTGAACTCACATCTCTCTTGTTTCCTTATTTAAGGGTACAATTTCATCTTTTTTTCCTGCGGCAGGACTGCCTTAGGGAGTTCCTGCCTCTGCACCATTCCTTTGGTTGTGTCAGTGCTGTTGTTTGTGGAGTCTGACTATCATCCTGACTGAGATAAAAATAACCCTTAAATAAGGTGGTGGTGGTAAACAGTTCCATAAGATGATGGTGCCTCAGATATAAGAGATGTGGAACCAGATCCTGAGGGTGAAGCTGTCCGTGCATTTAAGTTGACCAAAAATGCCCCCTCCTGGCCCTTCCTTCCCCCTGCAAGTGCTTGTGCAGCCATGCAGTGAATCAGACTGGAGAGCTGATCTAGCTGAATAAGCATCTCCTTGGTTATTTTTTCCCCCTTTTTTTTTTTTTTAATTTTTTTTTATTTTATTCTTGCTCTGTTCCTAGATTTGGGATTCACTCAGTGGCAGATGTAAGGGGGAGGGAGAGAGGGGAATGAGTGGCTGGAGGTAGAAGGTGCTGCTTAAACCAGCTGCTGGATTTATGTCCTAAAATGCTAAATTTATGGCCTGTGGTGGCTTGGCCTGAGGTGCTTATATTCTGCAAATCTGGCACCTTCCTGACACAAACAGCAGCCTCCCTTGAGAAACTGCATTATTTATTTGCTTTTCCTAGAAGGTGGTTCTATCTGAGAGGTTAGGGCTGTTCCATAGCCCTTTGTCATGTACTTTCATTCCTATGTTGTCTGAAACGGGAGGACCTGATTTCCACTGTGCTGTGGTGCACCTTTTGTTATCACTTACCTGTGTGAAAACAGTGTGGCCCAAGCCAAGAGTTTTAATGGAATCAATAATGTTGTATGGGTGTAATAGACATCTCAAACTGCAAAGCAATGGTGAAACATTCTTCTGGTTCCCTCACTTTCAGTGAGACGGAGGATGTGATGTCCCTGACCTTACCCTGACAATTTTCAACCATTAAAAAATGCATCTGCCTCATTTTCAGCAATCCCGAATGTTAAAAATAAGTGCATTGCTGCGAGTAAAAGTGCTAGCAGCAAGGCCTGTATTATGGATATATCATACAAGTATGCATTTTAAATTTGTGATATATAGCCCTGTACAAAAGTGTAAGTAAAAAGCATAAGGCCACATACAGTTATAGAGGTCAAAGGTATATGGTCATATACAAAAATACAGATAGACTTGTGAATGGTAATATTCTTAGGCTAAAAAGTTGCTTTGAACAATGACAGCTGGAAGCTTTAACTCAGGTTGTAAATGAAAAAGGAACATACAGTTCAAAACTGGGTTACTAGTGGGAGATGATTCTCACAGCTGCTGTCTTTAATGAGCAGCATCAACATGAGAGGAGGAAAGGCAAGAAAAATGGACCGAGGAATAAAAAACAACAGACTAGTTGAAACATGGTTGTAATGAATGAGGATGGAGGTGTTCCTTCTAACATAACTGTGATTCCTTTCTTCTAAGAAAGCATAAATAGCCAGTCACTCAGTAAAGCCCACAGGGGATTCAGGGGAAATTTGTCTTTGGAGGAAATCTAGGCACATAGGAATTCTCTAGCTGAGAAATGTCAGAAGTTGGATGCTGTATTGATCATTTAACATTGGGGGTTTTGTGAGGAAAATAAAATAAAACAGGTGGGCATATAGTTCTTGTTGCCATCATGAGTTGTCTCATGTCCACACATAGAGCTGCATTAGCTTTGCAGCCCACTGTGCAAATGTAATTCTATGGCACATGCATTTGATCAGATCAGAACATAGGCAATGTGAGATCACGCCTACCTGCAACTGGCTGTGAGAAATACAACCCTAATTCAACCAGTGCAAAAGGTGATACAGCTCCTCTTACTTTAATTTGAATGGAAGGTCATCTATTAGAAACAGGTTAGCATGAAAGAGGATGCCCACTGAAGGCCAGCCCAACTAAAGGCATTGCTCTGTGACACAACACACGTCTGTCTGCAGACAGAACCCCTTTGCCTGTGTGTTTTCTCATGCCTTGTTTTCCATCTGCAGTCTTTCCCAGGTGGCTCTGCCAAAGCTCCTTGGTTCTGAATTTGGTTTATTTTCAGTTCAGCCTGTGATGAGCAGGTAGTGCCTGCGCCTGGCCCGTTAACTCACCTGTCCTGGCTGCCTACTGCTGCTTCGGTTCCTCTGACATTTCAGGGGTGTTCAGCCTTACAAGTGCTACATTTCTATTCCACTTCCCTATAGATAGCACCTTCATGCCAAGAGTGAGAGCAGGAAACTGATTTAGTTTGATTTAATGTTTTTAAATCCCTGGATAAGAAGAAGGGCAAAACTGGCTTTAGAGTCAAGGCTACTCTGCATCATACACTACCGCAACAGTGTAAGGCAGCTAGACTTTACAGCTTGTCCCATCTGTTCTCCTGTTAATCCAGTTATTTCACAAGCATTCATGTTGTTTTGTAAATGCTAAAGTGGAAAGCAACAGCTCTGATAGCAATTTCTTTCCTCTTTATTTGTACTGTATTTGCTGATGAGATTGACAGCATATCATAAACTTGATGTAATTTACAAAGTAAACTTCTTATTGATTTAACTCAGGTCTTAGGCTCTGCTGATGACCTGAAGTGCACAAAGCAGATTTTGGTCCTGATGAAAGTCATAAATTATTGGGCCAGACCAGAAGAAAAGTGAACTTGAAGCAGGAAGAATGGCTGAGGGTCCAGAGTTTACATTTTCTTTTTTGAGGCTTCTCCTTGGGAAGGAGGGTCTTCACAGCAGTCATTCACCTGAGACCATTTATATCACATACCACTGGGGTGGACTGGAGAGTCTACTGTGCAATTATTCAGCTTTTCAGGGATGATACAATATTAGTAGGTCCTTGGGAAACATGATCCCTCTTTCCCTATTTGCCCAAAGACCATGAATTCAGTTTTGCTCAGACTATAAGGTGTTACTCACTAATGCACACCTGCTCCAGAGAAAACAGTTCAATGCAAGTGTGATGATGAGAGAGACATGCTGCCTTGGAGGACATCAGCTGAAAAGGATCTATAAGGTGGTGGTACCCTGAGCAATGAGAGCCAGGCAGGCTTGAGGCAGAGGCAAAGAGAAGAAATTTTCTTGGCCAGGAAATGGCTGAGGGTGGTGAAATGCAGTGGTGCCTCCACTTTTTTGACTTATATCACAGCTTGGCTGGTGCCTGAGATGTCACCCCCCTCACTCCCTTCTTTGCTGCAGCATCAACAGCAGTCTTGACCTCTTTGGGCTTCCTTTTCAGCTCTCTGGCCTCACTCTTCCTTCTCCTCTGCCTTTCCCTGAGCTGCCAAAGCAGTAGCTTTGTCTGGGCTCTTGCTCACTTTCTTCAGGAAGCAAAACTCAAATCACCCTTATCTGCCAAGAAGCCCTAAGCCAGGCTGGAGACCTGATTGCAGAAGTTCAGTTGCAGAATCAATCCAGCTCTAGTAGCAGCGTGAGAGTAAAAATCCTCTTAGTGTGAATCGTATCTTTAAGGATGCAAGCGTAGAACATAAAACCTAACACAGCAAGGCTATGAGCTTTGTGGACTTTCTGTCACATCCTTGAATGTTAATATAAGACTGTGTATCTAGAAGATATTTGTTTTATTAATGTGTGTTTCCCTGTCTCTTACCATTTTCCAGGGGACAGATGTATTTTCCTTTGCTATGCAGTTTCTCCTAAGGAAAATGAAATACACTGCAGGGCAAGTTCTGTGACAAATGGTTTCTGGTCTATTTAGGCACCTCTGCCCTCAATTCATTCTTGTGCTTGTTCATGCTGGATCGAAGAAACTGTACCTTTTCACTCTATTTTTGAAGAAGACTACTTTAGGTCACTTGGTGTTTTTGATGTCTAAATTTTGTAGACCAGGATTAATCTATATAATCAGATTTTGGCTTGTCCATTTTAAACAGATTTTAAAATTAATTTTAAAATGTAAGTGTCTTCAAATTAACTTTGGCAAAACACTTATGGTTCAACTTCCCGGCATTGTATTGACTATGTCAGAGAAGTCCTGAAATTAACAGGTCTGGAATCTGTGAAGGACATGAAGTCCTTTATGAGTGGACTAGCTTCTTGTAGTTATTATTATAATATCTTCCTATTATATACTTGTTAGCACTTAAAATTTTATGTCCTGTCAGAAAGGCCGTGTTGTCATTTCAACCTTCTGGAAACTGGGCTGTGATTGAATTGAAAATTATGGTGTCTTTTCCCTAACAACCTCTCACTTTTTTTTTTTTTTTTTTTT